TTCTTTAATTAATAAAGGAAGAGTGTCATTAGACTCGGGTTTTTCACGTGCATTGCTTTTAGGGTTGAGAGCAATGGCGGTGGGTTTTCCTCCCTAGGGTTTTTCTCTAGTATAGGAGTTCCTTCATCCCTCGTTTCTTTTTACCCCTCCCTTCTTCCTCTTGATCTCCTCCTTCCTCTTGTCACTGTCTTGCTTTGGAAACTTCAACCCATGGGACCATAAGGCAGCAACTTGTTGAGTTTTCTAGGGTTTACATCTGTTGATTTTTGAAGGTTGTGATTAGAATTGATCCTGCCGGTGGAGTAGGTTTCTCTTAATTAACGGGCAAAAATTTCGCTTTGGTGCATCTCCTCGGATGGGATCTTGTTGGGGGTCGAATTCGGCGAATTTGGTTCACACCAGTTCTCGATTAGCTAGCCAATTGCTGAAGGAAAGGGATGCTGTTGGTAAGACCGACCATGGTTTGCATAGGAAGCCTAATTTTCAAGCTAGCAAAAGGGCTCTAGTTCCCTTAATGAGTTTCGACAGCATGGGCTTGAAAAGGATCGGCAAAGGTGGTAACATGATTGGGAGTGTATAGAAGCAATTGGAGGGCCTTGTGCTTATCAAGAAAAGGCCCATACCCTGCTTGGTTGTTTTTTTTTTAAGAACAAGTAAGGCGGCAACTTGTGGGTTGGAGACTGTTTGTTGTCGGAATCCCTTGCTCTCCCCAAAAAGCTAGTTGAATAGGCAAGAATGTCCAGTAGTTCTTAATGCTCACAGTGACTCCCCTTTCTACATTAGTAGCCTTATTTAGTTCATACAACGATTGTAAATTTAATCTCTAGTTGCATATGGTTCTCTTTTCTTAATTGTCTATATCCGTCATAAGCATAATTTAAGTATATTACTAATACTGTAGGTTATGCTTTTGATTTTATCTTAGGTTATTTTGATTTTGACTATATAACATAAAATGAAGATTCTGTTGTAATTTTGTATTACTAAATATGTTTCTCTATTTCTCATAAAAAAATAATAATAATAATTAAGGAAGAGTGTCAATGTCATAATGGGTGACCTTGTACGGTTTTCTTCCATTTATCCAGTAGTTGGGTTCAAGGTCTTATTGCCATATCTCCTGATGCGGTTTCGTTGTGAAAAGGAATTTTATCAATGCATATTCATGGGAGTTATTTTGTTGTGTTCCTACATTTTTCTCCACACACACTTAGTTGGAAAGAAGACCTAAGGGTATCAATGCAATGTTGGATTTTTATATGTTCTATGATTGTATCAAATCAAATTATCGACAGAGATGTAACAATCCGTCGAATTTTCCATTGACCATACAAGAGTAACTTCAAATTTGTAAAACAAACTCATAATGTGATTTCTCAGCAACACACAAAAACTAACTTGTAGAAACAGTCAGGACAAAGCTGACAAAATACATTGATGTTCATGTATATCTGGCTCCAATGGGGAAAAAATGGTTGAACCTTATTCTGAATTGTTCTCAAAGGTTACCTCAGTCACGGTATTCATCCATAAAACTCTTATGGAAATCTGTTAGTCGGTCTATCACTGCTGGAATCTTGTCTTCTTGAGGGAGAATTGTGCATCTAAAATGCCATGTGCCCGGAACCTATAACAAAAACATAATAGAAATTATTTGCAAATATAGAAATTATTTGTAAATAAGCGAAGGCAAAGTACATTGTCTAGTCATCATATTCAAATTGTTAGTATACCTATTTGTAAAAAGCAGAGTGATTTTAAATAAGGGATCCATACAAACCTGCCCAAAGCCAGAACCAGGAACAACAACAATTCCAGTGGCATTGAGGAGACGACGACAATAGAATGCATCCGGGGCTGTTTTTACCTCTTCAGCTGCTCTAATAGCCTTCTCAGGCAGGTGAATACGGGGAAAGAGATACATTGCTCCTTCTGCCTTGTTGCATGTTACACCCTCTAAATTGTTGAATGCATCTTCCAACATCTGCTTAAACATGAAAGCAGCATTATATGATATTAATATGACCACTGTAATTTAAAAAGAGGTCAGCTAATCGAAAGGGCACATCAGTAATAGGTGGAACTATATCATTTTGGAAATTGGCACTCATATTTCTGCTACAAATAAGCATCATTTCCCCTCTATTTAAATTCGTCCTAATTAATCCCCACTGCCAGGGAAATAACCTTTGCACGCCTTGACAGAGATAAGAGGATTCCATCTCGTTCAGCACAGTATGATTCATATGATTCATCTCCAACCTGCAAATATTCATCTATACATTAGTTGCAACAAATCCATTATGCAGTTCATATTGTAACATCAGTTCACTAAATTACTGAAATGGCTATTCTAAAACCAAATTATGTATTGTAGCACTTTCAAATGTCTCTAGGTAAAACATAATAGCATTTGCTAGTTCAAGGTTACTACTTAAGCATGTCTTATCTTTACATCAACCAAAAAAGAGAAAAGAAAGAAATGTATCTTATGTTTGGCAAGATTTCACCTTGGGTGGACTCATGACAAGGCTTGCAAGAATTTGACCAGAAATGTTAGAGCAAAGATTGACAGAAGCTACTTTGTACATCTGCTCCCTCACATCAGCACCAAACCCAGTAACCTCCATATATCCTCCTCTTTTTCCACACTCCCCATAATATCCTGGAGACATTAAACGAGCACATTATGTCAGAATTCAATGTTTAGCATAAGCAATTTTCCCTTCAACAAGTAGCATACTAAACAAATACCACACACAAACCCAATCCACCTTTAGAAACTGACTGAAAAGATACTAAATGTATATCCTTCTCCCCATATCCCATTGACCGGGAAACCTTCTTAAAAGAATGGAATTTCTTCTCAGGTACATAAACATTTTCTTGGTATACCTGTAAAATGTTTTGCATGTTGCTAAGGCCATCGTAATGGAATACTGACAAACTTAAACACATTCATTCATGGAATTGGAGTTTAAACCAGGAAAGCTTTGCCCATGAATGGCAAACCCAGAAATACTGACACCAACCCACCTCATCTGCCAGAAGAACAAGACCTTCATCCTTGCAGAACTCCACAATTTCTCGCTGGTTTTCCTCAGCAAGAACCTGCGGTAATAAAAGGAATATTAAATCATAATAAAGAAAATTCTTAATTGAAAATAGTACTTTTAAAGAATACTACATCATTCTATTCTATTACCTGCCCAGTTGGATTGCCTGGATTTATTACAACCAATGCCCTAACTGCGATACCCTTAGACCTGGCAGTCCCCAGTTGCTTCTTAAGCTCAGATATTTCTAATCCCCATCCTGTGGCTTCATCAAGATAGTATGGAACCTGCAATAGCCGAAGACAACTATAAAATTTCAGCAAATGTTAAATAACTTCCAACTATTTACAGTACAACCCATCAAAAAATGAAGGCACCAAAAGATGCAAAGATAAGTGCACCTTGTATGGGCACTTATGTGCATCTAAGCAATGGTTTATGTATTACAAACATACCAAAGTTCCACCATGGAGAGCAATTGAAGCAGAGTATAAAGGATACTGAGGGATGGGACAAAGAATTCCATCCTTCTCAGATCTTATCAATAACTGCATCATCATATGCACCTGATATAGAATAATAACACATTCTATTATTCATGGTTCAGAGTGTAGACTATCAAACATGAACATTAGATTGTAAAAACAGAAGTTACCGCAGGGCTAGCACCATCAGTCAAGAAAATGTCATCAGGATTAGAAGGAAAACCATCACGAGCCTCAATTCCAGCAGCAATCGTGTCACGCAATCCCTTGATACCCTGATGGGTAAAAAAAAAAAAGAAGAAGAAGAAGAAGATAAAATGGCACTTGTCATCTACACTTCTATTTGCTTCACTTAGATTTACAAAGTGCAACTACTTTGGTCACTGGATAATCACCTGGCTGTGACTATAAGCACCAGTCGCTCTTCCAGGAATTTGATCCAAAATTTGCCAAGCCCTCTCAATTGCATCCGCACTACAATATCACAAGCCAAATTACAATTACAAAATACAGAAAATGAGTCAAATGACTGTTAAATGAAAGCTCGCAATCTACCAGACCAGAAGTTTCTGCAAGGGAAATATAGCAAGCAAAAAAGAGTAGAGTATATCCCTTTGCTTCTTACTGGCTCAACCAAAAAGTATGAATTTTTAGCGAAATGTATACCACCAGACTGTCTCTCAATCAATAAATGATGGAAGTGTGGTAAACACAACTCCAAGGCCATGACACATTGCCATGGTGAAATTACCAATATCAAGTTACTAACTACATCACACTTCTGCAATTATTGCCATAGTGAACATGAACAGAATTTTAAAAATTTGCCACATGGTGAAACACATGACTAACACAAACCACTAACTTAATTCTTGCTACAAACATAAACACAGCGACCTCAACAAAACATTTGATCTAAACATTCAAATCTTTATCAGATGAATGAAACATCAAGTAATTATCTAACTTAAGTAATTAAAACAGCCCATGAGTAGACATTAATTCTCAGTACCTGAACAAACCCTGTGTCTCACTTTTGTCCAAAATGGCTGGATGGTCGCACAATGCAAGAACCTGATACAGACATTAACTTAATTAGAATTGCTTCACTCAATGAACAGAACCTCTACTAGTCTCTGTTGAGCACACTTACCTCTCGGAAAAATGTTATTGGCTGCTGACCAAGAGACTGAGGATTTCCAATGTTGCAGTATAGTATCTGCAAAAGATGGCTGAAAATTCACAACCAAGTATTTAAAAAAAGAAAAAAAAAATTGTCCGGAGTCAAATAAAGGTTAGACAGGGGCAAGAAATAGAATTCATGAGGCTATTTTTCCTGTTTGTCCTCCTTAGATAACAAGCCTTTTAATTTTAAATGGTCACAAGGAACACACAACTTCAAGCTACAAAATTACAATTCTGCCAGGAGAAAAAGAAAAAAATCATTGAGTTCTGCCCTAAGAACAACTCAAGTAGTAGTTGGACTCCTATAGGGAATTGGTGACAATCAAATGTTAACATGACATAATCCTAAATAATAATAATCTGAGCATAAGATAGAGAAAAAAAAAAAAAAAAAAAACCAAACAAACGCTAATATTCAATCTGATATTTCTCTAAACTAATCATAGATGACTCATGACACTCCAAATGTCCATTAAAATGAAAAGTTGTAAATGAGGAGAGAAATATACCTCTTCAAAGGGCTGAGAGCCTGGCTTAGCCTGAATCTCTTCTTGCAATTTCTGTGATAGAAAACATTTCAGAGGGTTCATTAAAAGACTAGTTCACAATTTTTTTACATGGTTATATCCCAAGCTTTTTGCCACAAAATCATCATAAAAAGTAATTCCCTCACATATTTCCAAAGCATAACTAAGACTTTCAACAGACAAATGCCATGATACATTGATACTGCATCATCACAAGATCCTCCTTACAAATAAAGGACCCTTAAAATTCTACTAGTATTTATGCTTGCGTGTGCAAACAAAAGAAGGTAAGAATCTCATAGAAAGTAAACAACCATTTATGTATTAAGGATATTGCTGATGGCCCTATTACCTGGGCAAGGGTGACAATCTCACCACGGACAGCATACTCACACTTTACAACCTGCAAAAAAGAAAGAATTAGTTGCTAATAACCAAAATCAAACAGAGAGAAGAATAGAAAACGTCGAGCTGATTTCCCAAGTAAATCTAGCAATTTGCAAAGTGAATTTTAAAGAAAATCAAAAGAGTTTAAAAGCTTTGGATTAAGATTAACCCGTTAAAAGAAAATAAAAGTAAAAGTCATTGCTGTCGTCTAATCGGAGACGTGACATTTGAATAGTAGAGGACCAATCACAAATGAAAGAAAAATACTGCGTATAAAAAGGGAATTGAGATTTCCAGAAGCAGAAGATACACAGAAAATTAGATATCAACCGTATGTAAACAAGACAAATAAAGGAAAACTAAGACACCCAGATGCAAAAGTTAAAAAATAGACAACTTAAATCAACAAAGCTTGTACCTTTGGGTTGATGGAGTTAAGGGTAACAGGAGGAGACATTGGAGGAGAAGAAGAAGAAGAAGGGGAATCAATAACAGGAGCAGAGGACAAGAAACGAGAAGAAGAGAGGAAGAGAGAGTGTTGGGAGTGGCGGTAATTTTGATGTGAACGGTTCAGGAGATCTCTGGTTCTGCCAATCACCAACCTCCGCATCTTCTCTGTAATATAAGCAGACTATAAAGTAAGAGAGGAAATGGGGGGAGAGATGATCTTGTGGGCGCTGCTATCTGTTTTTCTTTTGTGAGAAAATGAAGACCCCTCTTTTTTTTTCTCTTTTTTGACGCTTTTCTGGAAACCGTCTGCCCTTTTATTTTTTATGACGGCTTCATTTGACGCTACTGGAGCCGGAAAGGGAATTTTAACATCTCCGTAGACCGTCCTCTGTTCTTTATTGGTTACCTTCCTCCATATTTTCTACAATATGATGTACTAAGAGTTTATGGAGAAAATGTAATGTACAGTGGTATCAGACTGCAATATATTTAATTATTGAATTGAGGGTGAGTTCCCTTGGTTTTGGATCATTTTATTATTTAATAGTTTTATTTTATAATTTAATTTAATCTAAATGATAAAATTAAATTATTTTTTTAGTTAATATCTTTTAAAATTTTTATTTTTAACCAACACTTTTTATAATATGAAATTCATAAAAAAATTCTAAATTACCCACAAAATCAAGAAGTAAATAAAGAGTTGTATTATTAATTTTTGAGTCTTTTATGAATTTTCAATTATAAATGATATTAATTAAAAATGAAAATTTTGAAACGTATTAACTATAAAAAAAAGATAATATTTATGATACAAATAAATGATTTGGCATATTCTCTAAATTTCTCTATATAAGATTCATCTGATAACTTCTTTACTAATTCTTCTTACAATAATTTCTCATTAAACATTAAAGAAAATTCACAACTTAACAAAATTACAAAAAAAAAAATTAATACAAAATTTATTAATTTTTTATACAATATTTTTTTATTATTTTTTTAATGAAAATTTTCATAATAAAATTATTCCACCTATAACCAACTAACCCTAAGTTGGGTTCATTTTTTAAAATTCAAATCAAGAATCACCACACAGCTTATTATTTATTATTATATTTTTGGTTTGAAAACTAATCATCCCATTTTGCTAAATGTAATTGTATTTGTAGCCAACCACTATTGCTGCCACTATTCTTTAAAAAGAAGCTAGGCACCCATAAATGTAAGATTCAACTTTGGCAATCTCATTACCTACCCCCAATTTAACTAGTTCGAAAAAAAAAAAAAAAAAAAAACAAACAAACAAACAAACTTGCGTTTGTAATACAATTGTTACTGGTAATAAAAAAAAAGATTGGTTATCATTTTCAAGGAAGGAAAGTTTGGAACTTTGACGTACCATATGCTTGGGGGTAGGTGTAGCACCCAATAAACAAGAACAGCAATGGTTCTTGCCCAAGTATTGAATGCCACATCTTGTTTTCTTTCCTTTTCTGTGACGTAAAAACGACAAAAAGGGTTGAGGTAAAAACATTCATGAATCATGGGTGTTAGAAATGTAATGAATTTCTCATATTATGGCGCAAGGGTGAGTTAGAGAAATCAAAGATCTAAGTCTGGATGGATAATATGTCAAAAGGATTTTCTTGTTTTGGACATCTAAGTTTAAAGAGAGAGATCTCATTTAGAAATATTAGAAAATTATTACTTTTTGTTAATTAAAATGTCATAAATGATATTAAAAAATTTAAATGTCTTTTTAATAAATAAGTACACAAAAAAAAAATATATATATATAAATACAATATCAAGTTATCATAATTTTCATTTTCTTTTGTACTTTGTTTCATTTTCATGTAGAAAGATAAAATTATTTTATTTCGAAAGATCCATTCAAGTTGTATAAGTAAAAACAACGATATAAGTAGTTCAGTGGTCATTTTCTTCTGCAGGAAGTAAGTTGGAAGTAAGAGATCTTGAATTCATCAACGACTTAAGTAGTTCAGTAGTAATCTCTTTCTGTTGAAAGTAAAAAATCTTGAATTCGAATCGTATGGCATGCAAGTGGGTGAAATAAGAGATGAAAGAAAGTTATCTCCAGTTGTGCAATCAACATAAAAAAAAAAAAAGTCTTAAATTTAAGCTACATGACATGTGAATGGGATGAGACAAGAGATGAAAGATATTTGTCTTTCATTGTACAACTAAAATAAAATAAAAATTGTACCAAAAAGAAAATAATCCAATTAAATAAGTTCATCTAAAGCTGAAATTTAAGTTAATAAAGTGTGTATTGCTATCATCTAAAATGTATGAGATCACATCTCACCACCCAAGTAAACTTGTAGATGCTATCTATAAGGATTTATAATTGTTAAAATGATTTCCTTCATGCTTGAGAGGTCGAAAATTTTTGAAACACAAATAAATCCACTACCATCACCAACTTGGATTTAAAATAGATGCACGGCAAAAGTGCATGCTGGAAACCTCAAATTAGAAATTAAAGTTATAATTTAAGTATTCACATCACGAAATCCTTGATTTGAATCTAAAAGCGCACTAAACCCAACAATCTTAACAAACTTCGCATTGCGACATTCACTAAAGTAATTAATGAACATCCACGTCAACAAAGTATATCCATTTGTTAATCAAAAAAACAAAAAGAAGTATATCCCTTTGAGTGGATCTTTTTAGGTTCATTAATTACCTCTACTTTCTCAAGCCATTCAACTTCTTCACGCATCTGAGTTCAAAAAAACTTCTTCACGCATCTATAGGCTTATGGCCCACACAAGAAATAAAAAAATAAAAAATATTTAAAATTTATATTTTTATATTATTTTTTAAATATTATTTAAATAATTAATTTTTATTTATTTAAAATTTATAATATTAAATACATCCACCCATTTAATAATATATAAAAATTATATAAAAAAATTATTTTTATATCACTATATATTTTTTTTAAGAAACTTCAACCAATCATTTTTTTTTATTAAATACATACAAACTAGTTGGCATCAACATGTGATTTTGTTTTTGTTGTCGTTAAAAAAAGCACACTCGTCTAGTCGGATACAACTGGATTACAACTATAAACAAATTATGAAATTAATATTTTTTATTGGAATTATGAAACTAATATTAATATCAAAAAAATTTTTTAAATGAAAATTAAATAATTATCTTCTTACAAGGATGAGGCATAGGAAATACTGGTATCCGGCAACCAGTCGTCGCCCTGGATGAAAGTTCTTACGGTGAACTTCACGGCTTCATCTTGTGTGAGAGTGGGCCTGTACCCAGCCCATTTAACCCTCTGAGCCACACTCGACCCTGGCCCAGTGTTTTGGTATTCGGCATAGAAGATGGTGCTGGCTGGCTTGACATTGGGGACCCAAGATGTCCAGCCCAATTGGTTCAGAAAGGACCCAATTTTGGACTGCATGATAACAGTAGTGGAGTAATTCTTCCAGGGCCTTCCCAGGTAGGTATCAGCCGTGAGGTTACCATCAAGTGCAGAAAAAGTACAATTCTGGATAGAAATGCCAGTGTTTTGGTTAGGGTCATTTTTCCCTTGAGCTGTGATGGTGTTGAATTGCAATGGAAGGGGCTGTCTTGGCTGGATGTTGCAGTTTTGGAAAACGACTGCTGCATTGCCGAAGATGAAGTCAATGGTGCCGGTGATGTTGCATTCACGGTAGAATTGGCGGTTGGAGTAGGCGTAGAGAGTATCCTGATAGCCGTCGAATGTGCATCGGTAGAAGACGGAGAAGTCGGAGCCAGACCGCATGGCCACTGCCTGGTGCTTGGCTGCACCTGCTGTGTTGACAAATGCCATGTCTTTTGCAATGAAGCCTTTTCCTGTCACAGCTGATGATTCACACAAAACTATTAATAGTTGTTTTTAATGAACTAGTCGACTTAGTTCATTTGGTCCGCTGGGAAGTTGATCCCAAAAAAAAAAAAGGGGGAAAGATGCTGGGACCATCAAACAATTTCACATGTTGACATGCATAACCTATGTGAACTTTCCTGTTTCAAGACAAAAATGGTCTTGATTGCATGCTTCAAAGTACCAATTAACCAGTATAGATCCAAAGAGATATCTTAAGCACCTTAAGATGGAATTAATGTCGAGGTATGCAAAAGTTAATCGAAAGACACTCTAATTAACTATAAATAGGAAAAAGTTAGGTGATCCTTGAAATTAAATAAGCAGGGGCAGGGGACTTACCGACAGTAGCGGTGGCAAAAGTAGGGGTCCCGTCGATGAAATTCAGGCTGCCGGAATGATGGTCTTGGTTTGACCATCGCCGTACATCATCACATTCCAGTTGTTCTTGTCCAGAATCACAGTCTCCTTGTACGTCCCTGCCTTCACGTATATAACAAATCTAGTGTTGTTCTTCTTCGGCACCGCTGCCACTGCGTCGTTGATGCTTGTGTAGGTTCCGGATCCGTCAAGGGCCACCGTCACATCTGGGGAAGGTGCTTTCTCCTGCAGCAACCTCCTGTCGCCAGGACTAACCCAACCTGGAAACTCAGACTCTGTTTCCCGGACTCTAAGCAACCTTCTGTGAATTGGGATGTTGAAATTGGCCAGCAGGCTGAGAATTTTCGTGATAATTGCCAGACTATTACTGGAAAATTCGGTGGAATTCTGCATCGCCGTTCTCATTTCGTCTAGAATCAACGAGTTAAAGTGCTCTGTACCATTTAATTCCTCCAGGGCATCAAAGCAGGTTTCTTGATCGGTAATGGAAGCACTAAGCCAAGTCCTCAAATCGTTTATCTTCGCAGACGACAGCAGATTCTCCCCCTCGCCGACTTCCATCGAAGAAATCGACTCATTGAGTCGATCCAACGCATCGTCAATAAGGGTTCCACAGACGTCCAGAGCAGCCTTGATTCGGGTATCATCGAGTTTCCCCTGTAGTTGGCGTGGATAATCCGAGACCCTCAAGAGCTCATCGGCAGCGACACGTAGAGCGAGCTTGAAGATGACTTCAGGGTCGGTCGTGTTCGACGAAGCGACAGAGGAAATGCTGGAGAAGCAAGAGGCAGGGTACGGAGTGACGCTGCAAACGGTCTTAATTGATGTGGATGGAGTGGACTCAGTGGGCGACTCCGAGTTGTAGTTAGAATTATTTCTCTTGCTTCCAACAGTTCCCACCACAGCACCAATGATGATGGCCAATAGTAGAACAGAGGACACGACGATGATAATGAGACGGCGGCGTGTTTTCCGGCGGAATGCTTGCTCTTCGAGTGGATCTACCTTACCGTAGCCTTTGAAGGAGTTGATCGTATCCATATGGGTGCTTGCTTTTTTGGGTAGGGAGGTAGAATGTTGGGGAGGAGAACACGGGAACTTTATGTGGGTGTGCTATTTGTCCTGTGAGAGGCCATTATGAAATTAAGCATTTTCTTTGATACTTCTTGTTTAAGAGTTAAAGAGAGTAGAATTGCGCCAACAACTTACTAATTCAGTGTACTACCAAAAAAAAAACCTTACTAATTCAGTGGTATTTTTTTTCATTAAAAAATAAGTAATATTAATTTCGAGTTATATAACATAACATGTGATTAAATTAAAATAAATAATAAAAAATAATTATTTTTTTATTATATAATTAAAATAAAAACAATTATGTATATATGCACATCAACTCTTAATACCTATACACCAACTCGTAAGGTACATTCTCAATTTTTGGGTTAATTTTGAATCCTCTGGTTTGTAATTTTGTTTTAAAAAAAGAAAACAGTGGTTAAGAATCGCGTAATCCATCCAGAAACAGACAGGATCGTACGTGCCTTTAGATAAGACCATGGGTCCATGACAAATACCTTCCTTAGTTATCAAATATTTTATGATAATTTTTACTTCATCTCCCTTCTGTCTTCAATTTAAAAGAAAGATTTTTTTAATTTTAATTTATGTTTTTAGAGTATAAATTAAAATTTTTTTATAATAAATTTAGAAAAAAATATTAATTTTAAAATTAATATTATGTAAATAAATTTATTTAATTATTTAATTAATTAAATATCACTTTTATTATTTCAAAACTTTTAA